CTGTTACTGGGGTGGGGCAGGACCCAAACCGAGACCTTCATCTTAGTTTGCCTGGCAGAGCCCAAAAGATGCTAGAAGCATCTTCTGCTTGTCCCTTGTGTAGACCACCAAGAACTCCCCTGATGATGTTGCGTGGGCCGAACCTGTCGAGGAAACTATATGAGCCATAGTCTAAACTCCTAGTATCCCCCGTAATACCCCCCATAATACTCCCCTATATAACCCCCCTTAAAGGAGTATAGACTATAGCTCAGATAGTCAATATAGTCCCCTACTCAATTTGAGTTCCTACCTCGGCAGGATGTAAAATCGAAGTAGGCTTGCCAGATGGCAGCAAGTCTTTAGGGATTACGGTTTAGGGTTTAGGGTCTGGTTCATGAAATTCGGAACACATCAAATCACAGATTAGTTTAGGTGCGTTTGGGCACCTACAGCTCCATGCAGATTATCTAGACCATGGTAGTTTCCTTAAATGGGGGGGACCCAAACATAGACCCCAATATATCCCAACATACTATAATCTTTAAATTTGAGGGCCCCTAACAGGGTACGCCTTATTCTTGGGAAGCCTCCACATTGACCATGCAGCCGCAATTCTAAGGCCAGAAGCCCTAAATCCTAAACCCTAAACCCTAAATCCTGAGGTTCCGCATGCTGCTCACCTTTACCTCGGGCTTCGGCGATGGACATCCTGGTGAGGAGGCAGGTCAGACGCTGGTTCTGGGTTATGCTTGAGGGGGTCGGGGGAAAGAATATGTAAACACCCTAAACCCTAAACCCCCAACAATGGGAATTCCGTAGATCTGATACAGGGAATTTATCAGGGGTTCACCCCCAAATCGCACTGAATCACTAGCAGCGCAAGGGATCAGGGAAGTTGTAGCACTAGTCTGTCGCAAATCTGGCCGGGATGTGAACCTTGTCACTGAGCCCAGGTTTATGTGCACAGATGCGGATGGTTGCAGTTGTACCGGGTACTGTCATCAGTTCTGGCAAGAGAGCCCATAAGGAGTTTTGTTGCTCCCGTGGTAGCTTCTTGTTGAGCTCGAATGTAGTCTCGTAGATCCTTGCTTTCAATTTCATACTGCCCAAGGGGTCCAAGTAGGAATACATACTACTTAGGGTTTAAGGGTGTCCCATCTACGTACTTTGGGGGGGGTCAAATATATACTATATAGCTACATGGGCCCCTTGGGAAACAGTACCCCTAAACCCCTTATACAACCGTACCGCTACATGGGCCGTTTGGGCTAACGAGGGTATAATCCATAAAGGTCCGAGTACCCAATGATCATATACTTACCCAAAACCTATACTATAATTACTATTACCCAAGACCCAAGTACCGAATTATCGGGTACGTGGACCCTCTGAAAATGTTCTGCAAGCGGGGATCAGGACTAGAAGTGTCTTCGAGGCCAACACACGAGCAGCTCGCGAGTGGCGTCGGGCCAACCGCGCGAGTGCGAATGCGACGCAGGCACCCATGGCACACAGCGATTCCATCTGTAACGTGGAGTTCACTGGGATTCTGTAGAGAGAATGGAGAAGCAAACGGAAGCTACTATTTAGGGTTGTAGGGATTCTATAGTCATGGACTTATGGACCCGCTTTTTCCAACATTCCCAGCACTTCTTCAGTGCGCGGTATTGTCCCGATTCTCGCATAGTGAGTATGTATAGCCCATCTGTCTGCAGCAGCTTGGATTTCTTGTTTGGCCAAGGTTACAGGCTGCTTGATCCCTATACAAGCTTAAACCCTAAGCCCGAATTTAGGCTTTTCGAAATGGGAGGTAAGGCCATGGGAGACTCTCGGGATACATGGGGACTAAGTGGGATCTTCTTGGGGGGCACACGGTTCAAGGTTCAGGGTTAGGGTAACCCCGTACGATTTTTAAAGATGCTCAAAAGCTCCTCTGTACATGTTGAACGTGCTTTTACCATACCGGAGCGTGCGGCTCGTTCCGGAATATCCACACAGTCAGACAGTCCTGGACTTTCCAGCAGTGCTCCGCCTAAGTTAGGTCAGGCTTCTCTTGGGTTGTTGTTACGGATCTTGAGTTCAGTTACCGGATGGATATACGATAAATAATTGCGTTCCCTGGTGTGACAACTGAACTAAACAACCCTAAACCTAAAGCCTGAATCCAAGAGGCTGAGCCCGCGTGGGTGTAAGTATCGTAGCAGCAACCCAGTATCCGGGCCTTACAGTGGCCTCCTGGTTTGGATGTGAACTTTGGCCTGTCCCTTCAAAGGGTGCAACAATGACACCCTTGGTAACACACCTTAAGCCGTACCAGAAACCCCAGAGTCCAATCCAGCCATATAGTGGTTGTAGAAGAAAATATTGCGTAACCCTCACCCTTGTAACAATAATATATTGCGTAACCCTCACCCTGAAGCCCAAGGCCCAACTCCAAAACCCTGAAGCTTAAAACCTACATAATCCCAATACAACCCTAAGTAGTAGTTTCCACTGTATTTTCCATGATCCCAATGTAACCCCATTATAACCCTAAACCCTATGGCCCTCACCCTTAGCTCTAAGCACGCCTTTACACGAACTATAATCCAGAAGCCCCTAAGCCCTAATCCCGAAACTCCAGCTCCCGATCCCTAAAGCCGTAGACCTTAAACCCTGAACCATGATGCAAGCCCTACGTAAACCATCTCGACCCTGAATCCAAAAACTCAACCTCAAAAGTTTCATCCCAAGGCCTCTAGCCTCTAAACCCTAAAACCCTAAAACCCTAAACCCTAAAACCCTAAACCCTAAAACCCTAAAACCCTAAACCCTACACCCTAAAACCCTAAAACCCTACACCCTAAAACCCTAAAACAGCCAGTGATAGCAGGCTGTCGTTGTCCGACGCCTGGCTGCAAAACCCTGCGACCAGACCTCTGGATGCATCATCGGCTGCGCCAAGTCCCTGGGGCCCAAGAAAGTCATTTGAGCTTAGGGTTTGGGGTTTAGGGTTTGGGGTTTGGGGTTTAGGGTTTGGGGTTTAGGGTTTAGTGTATATTATAGTCTAAACTCCTCAGAGGGGGAGGTTATATAGGGGAGTATACAGGGGATTATTGCAGGGTTTGACCTATAGGTCATTCTGGTTCAGGGTTTTGGGGTTTTGGGTGTAGGTTTTGGGGTTTGGGATTTAGGGTCCATTTTTTCAGCCATTGTTTGTGTTTGTGTGCATATGTATATGTGCTCCCTTCTGTTGCGTGTCACGTGTGCTGCGCACTGTCATTGGCGCTGTGTGAGTGACTGAGTAAGCGAGTGCGGATTAGTGGTGAATTTGTTGGGTGCAAGTTGTTTGGCCATGATTTTGCGCAGGTTGTGCAGGAAGAAAGCTGGGGATAGTCGGCTGGGCAAAAGCCCGGGTCAAAACCTTCACAAAGACTACTCGAGGGATGAACGTGGATGGCTGAGGGTGTTTAGTTTGGGCAGTATGAGGATTCAGCAACAGATGTTTTGGCTCCAACGCACTTTCTTCTGAGAAGTAGAGGAGCTCATGAGGCCTCATCGTTTTGGCAGCAGGGCTGAGGAATTATTTGGGGCCAGCGTCTTGGCACACCCTAAGTATATACAAGCTATTCAGCAGCCACACCACGCCCATCTGAAGTATGCTTAGCAGAGTTAGATTTGTTGAGGTGAGGTTATAGATCGGACCTCCAAGGAGTGCTGAAAGATTGGGGTTGAGGGTGTTGGGTTTCGGGTTTTGGGGTGTTCGGTCATAACGGTCTGTGAAAGGATGCATTTCCAGAGCATTGCGCACATACGGAGGCATCCAGGGGAGACGTACTTGGGTTCAAAAAGCAGGTCTTAGGGGATGTTCTGGGCAAGACATCTATAGTCCCCCTTCAGTAGATAGACTATGGCTTTGGGTATATTATAGGCCAAAATTCTATCTACTTAACGGTGACTATATGCACAAACCGAGGTGGATCTACGAAAACGTGTCTTGGCGGCAGTGCATTAGGCATTCGCCGAACGTTTTTTCAACGCCTGGGGGATCCGAGTTCCTGACGAGACTATTCAAAGTAAGCTTGAAGAATTCCCACTGCACAATTATTCAGACACGCGCGTGGCAAGTTTCAAGTCTGCATGCCACTGACAAGTAATTGCACCAACCATATTGAAGGGCATGCCTACGCACATTTACATTTCAAGCCTAGACTTGTCCAACATGTTAAGCTTGGTTCACTGAAATGTGTGCTTGCAGGGAGGCCCGGAAGCAGTGTTGGGGGTTCCGGAAATTAGGGGTCCCGTGCAGACGGTCCCCATAATGAGGACTGTAGTATATTGGCGTCGAAAGTGGGGTCCCCCTATTCATGCGTGGAGGGTCAGGAGGACTATGGGCCGTAGCAAGTAGGTTAAGAACCCCTATAACCCATATAATAACCCAATCATCCCCATTAAAAAACCTACTTATTAAGTCTCCATGACCCTCCAAGTAAGTAAACCTCATCATCCCCCTATAGTCCACACATACCCTTGGGACCCCCCTTTTTTGAGAAGCTATGATCCTCCAAGTGGAAACTATTTGTTCACGGACTGGGCCGTGTAAGCCCTTTAAGGTGAAGCTCATCGGCACCCCGGGGCAGGTGACTTTGCTGCACGTTGTGTTCAACATGAGCCATCGTCCAAACTCCTTAAAGGGGGCTATATAGGGGATTATGTAGGGGACTACTATAGGGGTGATATTGAGGGAGATACTAGGAGTTTAGGCTATAGCTCACATGTTTCTCAGCTTAATAATCCCGGGTGTTTCTTTTTGATGCATGTATCAGCACATGAGCCGCTACAGACCATAACGCCACCTCCTGATAAGAATCTCCCACACGCCTATGGAAAGACTCAGCATTGAGAATATGCATTATGGAGGTGGGGTTTTGTATTGGTAAGGGGAGGAAATTATCTGTGGCCCTGTCATCAACATTTTTGCGTGATTCTGCAGCAGCAGTTCGAGCCAGACTCACGACTCCACCAGCCAAAGCTCCGCAATGGGAAGTTCTGCAATCTCAGAAAGACGCCTTCTGTTTCTGCTTGGCGGATGTCTGGCGCTGCTGCACGGCCCGTGCTGCGTCCCTTTTTCTCGGTTCACTGTACCACCTGCGCGAGGGACACATGGCCGAGAGGTGAAGCGGCTGTACCATGTCACAGCGCACGGGGAGGCCATCCAAAAGGACGGCTTCATGATCCCCGGTGACACAGGTTCGGAATTGGTTCTGTAGGTCAATTAGTTATTAGCTGTAGCCTCCTCTTTCCTTTGGAGGGCTAGTCCTTCGCCCGATAGCAGGCTTCTCCAACCCTCGCATAGAAGGCCCCCTGGCGTCTGAACTGAAACACGTGGGGTGACATTAGCGGCGTTAGATATGGAGACTTCTCAAAATATGGTGCCCTAGCAGAACCCTAGGGAAACACAGCGATTACAAAGGGACCACACAAGCTATGGGCGCCTTACCGGGATTCCATAGCGATAAAACCCCTACCTGGACCGAAACAGGTACTGTCGGCGGCGGCATCTACTTCGCAGAAACGGAGTTTGCTGCACGTAGCAAGGCGACCAGCACAGGTCCTTCGGGAGCTTTGGGAGTGGAACACGGCTGTGCACTTTGGGGTTTTGAAGGAACTTAGAGCTTCAGCAGGTAAATCCTGTATAGAGACTATATGCATGTAGGTAGACCTAGGTCATGAATCCCTGGGAAAGGAGAAGCTCATGGACAATGTGTTGGTCATAGACGTTATATATGCCTGTGGGGACATTTACGGTGTGGTGCCTTCATAATGGAAAACCAACCAAAAATCAACTGCAAGCTACTTACTACATTGCAGCCTTCGAGTATGATTGAGGCCACGCCTCCTAACATCTTCTGAGGAAGCCCCTCAGAACATTCAAGGCTCCCAGTTTGACTTCTGCACCATTCTTGAGAAGAAACTATAACAAGAGGAGTTTGGCAACCCCGACCCAGAGGGATGGAGAAAACATGGAAAATGACATGGCAACTGTTGTTGTACAGGAATTTATACAAGGTGCGTAGAGGATTTCGGGAACCCAACCCCCCGATTTCCGATCCGATTATAGTCATAGCACAGTCATAGTCATACATTTGTTTTAGAAGGTTTGGGCTTACCAAAATCCTCTTGTTGAACTCGAGGGCATTGAGCCTGCAGGCTATGTCGTCGTGGCAGATGTGCACGTCGGCAAGGCGATGACTGTAGACCAGGCAAATTCAAATCAGCTTCCCTGGAATGCGCAGGGCATGAATGGCTGGCTGATTGCGTTCTTCCTTTTTGCGCTGGTCGCTTTGGTCATCCTAGGAGCCCTATGGATCCAAGAAATGATCACAGGCACAGAAAATCTGGACATCATGGACATCATGGAGGCGTCTCCACACTTGGAGTCATGGACTGGCAATGACTGGGCAAGTTGCTTTCGCACCTTGCAGGAAGCCGGATATGATTCGATCTATTCGACAGGATTCGACACAGGGCCAGAGTACGTAGTTTTCAGCATGGATCAAGTGCAAATTGTCGAGGTTCGCCGAATGTAGGGCAGCCCCACCAGAGGGTGTGCCACGTAGAGTTATCGTTCCAAAAGTCGTTCTGCACCACAAGCATGGCGCAGAAGTGATGACTTAATGCCACTCCAGCGCGCACATTTGAAGTGGAAAAAAGGTGTCTTCATCTTTGCCACAAGCAGATCCCTTCGCTGCCTTAAACGACGTGTGGTCTTTGCTTGCATACATCAAATCTTCCTTACTAGCGCGCCAGGGCTGTAGACTTGCATAGCGCGGTAGTTCCTAGACTAAACTGTTGTGGAGCCTTTTAACTGCAATACTTTCTCGCGATCCAACAAGCATGGACTCTAAACCGCACACGATGCGTTTTGAAGGTGGTTCAAGCTTGGGGTCTGTCAGCCAACAATGCAGAAGCTCAAAACCAATAGTCTGAATAGCAATAGCCATGGCCGTTAGTCAGGAGGATTGTGCTGAGGGCAGGGCATCATGAGAAGGCTGTAAGGGAGAACAATAAAACCCTGAATGGCAGATGCACGTGCAGCAGAACAAGAGGTGTCCTGGCAATACCACAGCTATACAAACTGCCGGAAATCCTAAACAGCCGCAAGCCCCAAATCCTAAACCTGAAATCCTAAGCCCCAAACCCAAAGCCCTAAACGTTCTAAACCTCAATTTTGGCGACCTACAGCAGGGCCTCAAAACTTGAGAGCAAGGGTAGGGTTCGGGGTTAAGGATTTTCGGGCTTAGGGTTTAGGGTTTGGGGTTTGGGATTCAGATTTTGAGGATCAGGATTTAGGGTCTAGGGTTTCGGTTTTTTGTAGCCCCAACCGCAACAGGGACAATTTTCTCAGGAGAGTTGATCACAGATTGCTAGTTTGGGAAAGTATTGAGGGTGTGCCAAGTTTATAATTAATCTGTAGCGTGTTTATAACGAGATCATGGTCGTTCTCCCCTTATACTTGCTAGTCTGGCTGGTACTATTTCCGCGTACCTGGTTTCAAGGGCACTGCCGAAGTACAAATCGAAGAAACGTGTTTGATGCCTCATTTTCTCATGACATGAACCCTTTTTTGCGCCTAGTTGGGGCTGCCTAGCTTAATCCTACAACTCTAGGCACCTTACCCTGAACTCAGCTCTAGAAGTCAGTCCCAGGTCCCTAAATTTCCAAACCCCAAGCCCCCAACACCTAAATTTAGGGTCTGGGCCTATTGGAATTAGGTCTAGAACCACAACTCCAACCACCCTAACCTTGAAACCCCAAAACATGAGCCCCTAATTCCCCTAGACTTCCTCAATCCAGGTTTACTCCCTGTAGTTGAACTACATCTCAGACGGCCCTAACCTGAAACCACCAAAACCTGAGCCCCTAATTCCCCTAAACTCCAAAACCTAAACCCTGAACCCCCAACCCTAAACCCTAAATCCAGGTTTACTCCTACAACTCCAACCACCTGCAACTCGCTGCCGCAGTGGCCGTGACCATTACAGGCATGGACATCCAGCAGGCGCGGAATAGGAATATTGGGTTTCGGGTTTAGGGTTAAGGTTTATTGGGGTTATATACATATATATATAGAGATATGAGATATTTATTAGGGCTATATAGGGATTTTAGGGTATACATCGGGCTTATAAAGAGATAATGGAAAAGAAAATGGAAGCTACTATTTAGGGTTTAGGGCTTAGGGTTTAGGGAAGGAAGAATAAGTAGTATAGGTGTAGTAGCAGCAGCAGTAGGAGTAAGAAGAAGAAGCTAGGAAGGTTCATGTTTTCGGAAGCTGGCCCGGCCCGAAGCAATGTGTGTATACATGTGGTTTCCATGTTGCAAATACCCCTGGACTGCATACCGTGGTTTGTGAGTACTCAGAAGACATCAAATGATGGCAAGTACAGATTCTTCTGATCATCTACACTCCCACGTCACTTGTTGTTGCTGTCGTGAAGGTCATTCAGAAATACCTGGTCGAAGCTTTCGACATGAGAGACAGCTCCTATCCCGGCAAGTGCTTCGGCAAAGAGGAACATACTCTAACAAGAGATCTAGCAAAATGAGCCCCCCGCATGAGCCGCACTGCTGTTGAGAAAGGGATTGTATTGGGGCCTTTCAGTTTTTGGACTACCCGACTACCCGTCTTGAGGGCATCGAAAGTGTGTGGTCTCTAGGCTAGGCAGCTTGTGTTTCCAGTCTAGACCAAGTTCTCAAAACAAGTTTAACAGAGGGAAGGTCTCAGCGTCAAAATTTGGGTGTGCGACGCCGCGGATCACAGGTATTCTGTTGGCTTTCCCTTCAGCATGATGCCCTTGCCGAGGATGTCTTGAAGCGTAGTAAGCCTCGTATGAGATAAGGTCGTTCATTGTGGGGTTTCTGTGTCTGTGTCTCTGTGTGTCTCTGTGTGTGTGTGTGTGTCTCTGTGTGTGAGTCTGTCGCCTTGCTTAGCACTATTGGTGACGGGATAGAATATGCCGGGTGTCCATGTAGGGATACTATGAAGACGAACCAGTCCTCATATGCACGTGCTCAGTTTGTTTGAAGACACTCCCTAAACCCTGAACCCCTAAACCCCAAGCCCTAAACCCTACACCCTATTC